CCGAGAGATGGACAGGGAGCGTGACTCACTTTGATCCACATCATAGTACCACTCTATATTGGACAACGAGACGCGTTGTGTTCTTGATTCTTGGAGCACGAGGGCAGCAGAGTACCCGGCAACGCACCTTACAATTGGCGGAGACTACATGAAGTTGTTGCAGCAGATGAAGGACATTTCTTGGGTCTGAGAAACGCCCAGCGTGACCGTGATGGAAGTTCGTACTGTGTTTGTGACCAGTGCAACGCCGCTGTCGCCAACTCAACCAAGTCTCGATACCTTTAGGCCGCGTTGGGCGTGTGTCTCTTGTCGCAGTACTAGTACGTCGTATGTGTTTCGGATGACGGCTTGGACGCTGACTACAGTACGATCTTTGTGTCGTTCCTGGTGACGTTCATTGTAATCTGTTTCTAAATTCCACACTACATATATATACGTATATCGCCTCACTTCGAGCTGATAATTACAGCTCCAACAATTGCGGACTAAAATGTTCTAGTTGTCTACTGCTGTACGCACCAGAGTAGACATTACACACGTTCGAAATGAGATGTGTGCCTTCTCTCAGAATGCACAGCAAGCGCTTTGAGGGTCCGCGCAACTGGGAGACAAAGCTAGCCTACTCTTCCGTGGATAGGACGTGCATTTAACCGTCGCGGGAGGGCGAGGACTCGAGCTGTGCAAATCATTAAAGTTCCATGCCTCTCGATACCTACCCCTAGACTTTCTGAGACCAGCAACTCCTGTTTTCATCGCTCTTTGCATCACAACAACAGCCGACTAAAGCAAAAAGAAAAGCGAATTGCCAGAGAGCAGACGATATCACTACAACAAGCGACACGATCCCCGCATCTTGCGCAGCCAGTTCCGACGAGACTGCGTTGGTATGCAGCCCGAATCTCTCGGGGTACGAACACTGCTGAACTCTCATACTCTCGGGAGTTCACTTCTCTCTACAAGTGCCTTGTGTGTGGGCTCGGGCGTCGGCGCTGCCTCTTCCTCCTGCGTCGTCGTCGCCGCGTAGACTGGCGCGACAAAGCTGTTGTGGCCAAGGCTGTCGAGCGCGTGGCGCGCCGGCTGCGAGAATGCAAACCGGTCAAACCGG